TTAAATATTTTGGTTTTTTAAAAAAATAAATCAGAGCTAAAAAAGTGCAAAAACGCAGGCAAATTTGTCTGCGTTCTGCTACAATCTAAGGGATAATAATATATTTGTTTAATATTTATGAAATGCAGACAACAGATACTAGAAATTTATTATTAATTAGCCAATTACAAAATTCAGTATATTATTAGAATCTTTAAAATTACTATTTCTAAGTAACAATTTACAAAAAAATATACAGATAGAATATAAAAAATTTTTGTAACGATAGCTAATTATTTGATAATTATAGCAAATTTAAAAAATACAGTAATAAAAGAGAGATATTTCCATTATGCTTTTATATGAGTTTCAGCTGCATAAGCATAATTTCATAATAGTTCTGTTATTTCAAATTGACATAAATTGAAAAATGTTGCATAACATTTTTATAATTTGATATAAAGATCTGTTGCAGTATAAGTAACACCCTAATAAAAGGTATTTTAATCAATTGATTTAAACTAGGTGTTATCTATACTGCAAGAGATCCTGATAGGATTTATTATAATAATATGCTTGTCATGTTTATGTAGCTAAAAGTTATATAAAAAGTATAGCGGCATGGTGAAAATAGCAAATATCCATAATGAAAATAGATATTCTCTAATAAAATTTAATTTTAATTATAAAAATTATAATACTCCTTATTTCTTTTAACAAAAAGAAGTTCATTGACCGTATCAGGCTTAAGCCTATTTCTTTCATTCGTTATTTGTTTGCCTGCATCACTAAATAGACGTTTACTAGGGACTGAAGTTGCAGAGATTTCTAAATATTTTTGAGATATCATAAAAAGAATAGGAAAATCTTTCTTATTGTCTTTCCACCATTTAAATAGATCAGCATTTCTATTAGCTTGTGGTATCCTAAGTCTATCAAGATAATGATTAATTTCATTATCATTAATAATCTCTTCTTCTTCTTCAAATAGGCGTAATTTAAAATTGCTAATCATTTTTTCTTTAAGCTCTTTAAACTAATATTTGTTTATATTACTAGACTCATGATTACTCTTTAACAGTTTTTTATTTTTAAAGTAAACATATTCAGATTTTAATAAAGTAATTGTTCTTTCTTTTTCTTCTTCTGGCCATCCTTTCATTCTTTTAAATCTAGGATCTAAAATACTTGCAAGTAAAATCGAATTTGGTAGAGTATCAAAGTAATTAAAAAGAGCATTATAAATTGTAGTCTTGACCAAATTAATAATGTTATTAATATTTAGTCTATTAATACTATTAGGTTCCTCATCTGTTTCATTCTCAGTTTCTTCTTCAGCTTCTTCTTTAGTCTCTTCTTCATTCTGATTTAGATCTTCTTCCATAGACCCAATTTCTAATTGTAATATTAAGAAATATTTATTGTATTTTATAAACTTATAAGCTTTAAAATTCACAATAATAAAAAAATAAAGTATATACCTTCTTCGTCTTCAATTACAATGTAATCATACTTTAAAATTTGTATGGTAGGATATATTAGCGATAGCGTACAATATTTTTGACCACTAAGCCACTCTGTCACTTCTTCAATTGGTTTAAAAAGTTTAATTAAACTATCAAGAAGATCCCATTTTCAAGGTTTTAAAAATCGCATTTTTAATATTTCATGATCTTTTTTTGCTTCTTTATTAGTTTCTAAAGAAAGTTTAAAAATAATATGTTTTATAGAATCTTTTAATTCTTTTAACCGTTTCCAAGAAGCTAAAGAAGATCCCCACCAGGTATTACATTTATTAATAGTTCTTAAGATTTTTAAATGAGTATAAATTATTGTATTATCTATTTCTTTATTGGATATGTCATGATCAGCTAAAGCTAAATTATTAGATGTATTTTGATTAATATCTATATCTTCATAATTTGATAATAATTGACATTGTGCTTTCTCCAATCTTTCATTTTGTTTAGGAGAATTAAAAAATTTATTTAATTTTTTATATCTTCTTAAATATGGTTTAATTTTTTGCAAAGCTTTAGTTACATATAATTAAAGAGTATGCGCAGAGCATGATACATGTTCAACACTTTTCCACTTACGAATTGCCTTTATCATATTAGAACCACTGTCAGAAACTACAACTTTAATTTTATCATTTAAATCTAAAGATGTGGTTTTAAAAATAATAGTATTACGAATGTGATCACCAGTATAGGGATATTTAATAGGTTCAATACACACAAGTATATTATATAATTCCATATTATCATTTAACCAGTGACATGTTATTCCAATGTATCCATCCTTTGCACGTGATGTCCAGAGGTCAGTTGTTATAGCAGCATCTTTATAAGACTTACTAATTAACTCTTTTATTGCTTGAAATGTTTCTTGATATCCAATATTCAATTTTTTTTTGATAGTTTTATAGCATGGTAAGCGAAATGCAGAATCAATTTTTTTCATCATTTTCTGAAATCCTAATCTGTTTACTGCATTAAAAGATTGGGAATATATAATTATCCAGTCTGTAATAGCACGTTGCAATTCTTTTTGTTTTTATTCTTTATGCGGCATTACTTTCTTTAATTGATCATCAATTTTTAGTTGTTTCTAAAAATTAATATATTAGTAAAATTTTAATTAAATAAAATAAGTATATTTTTCTTAAAATTATTAAATTTACTTACTGATTTTTCTTCAAATTTTTTATGAATAGTTCCTAAATGATGATTCATACTACTAGTTTGAGAGTTATAAACACAGCTCCATCCACATTCTGTCTCTTCATTCTCATTTATTATATATCTACAATAAGCACAGCTATCAGTTTTTATTCCGAAGTACTTCAAACCCAACTAGTTTTATTATTCCCAATATCAATCCACTGAGGCTCTTCAAGAAGCAAATCATTATTATTATTATGATTTTTTTTATTTTGTTGAGAGGATAATGTATAATTATTATGCTTCTTTGAATTGGACACTTTAAAGACACTAAAATATTCTGATAAGAATCATATTCTGAATTTATATATACTATGTTTTGAGTTAATGATAGATTAATAAAAAAGATAGTCGATAGTATAACTAATTGTGTAAACATCTTACAAATAAAGAAACCAGATGAACCTGAAATTAACAACTTTAAACCTGATCGATAATAGTGGTAATAAAATAAGTGGCTTAAGCTTAATTTAATATACTGCCTGTTTTAGAAATTCATAAAACCGCTATGCGAAATAAGAATATTACAGAAAATACTGTAAAATTCCAACTACATTTTGAGAAAGCAATCTTTCTCTTAGTAGAATCATGCCATTTGGCACTAAATGCAAATCTTTTAGAATTATAGCTAGTTCGCTTTTATGCAAGTGGAAAACTGCTAGCATCACTAATTTTAATTATTTGAATGTATGTATATATTCGCATATCACAATTTAAATTTAATTTTGTGCCACATGTTAACTCTTATAAATTTTGTAAATATGGTATTACTGTACTGTTAATTTAACAGGATTTTTTGTGGTTATTCAATATAGAGGATCAGTTTCCTATAGCATTTATGTATTGCCATATCCCAATTTGTAGTATACCTTATAGTTACTTTGAAGTACCATAAAAGTACTACAAAGTTCTTAATATTTAAAGTACGGATAAACTGTAGCTGAAATAATTAATCAGATTTCTGATTCAACACAATGCAAATTTGGTTTTTGTTCCTTAGTTATTTTTAGCTCACCACAAAACAAATTTAGATTTTGCTCAATTAGTTATTTTTAGTTTAACACAAAACAAATTCAGCTTTTGCTCAATTAGCGTTAGTTATTTTTGGTTTAACACAAAATAAATTCAGCTTTTGCTCAATTAGTTATTTTTGGTTTAACACAAAACGAATCCAGTTTTTGCTCAATATGCACAATTTTTTCTTAATACAGCACAAATTCGGTTTTTGCTCACTGGCATCAAGAATGTTATGACAAGGAAGAGACCTTATAATTGCACTGCCAACTTAACTCTGGTCATAAGCATTAAAATCAGGAAGCTACTTATTTATTATCACACACAATAGTACCATCAGATATTTGTAGCCGTACTATACTCTAAACCAGCATGGAGCGGATATTCTATATATATATTTTTTCAATTTTTTGTAAGCTGATTAAGTTACTATTACAGAGTTAGACAGTAACTATTATAGTGTTTTGTTATTTCGCTTAAACGGGTTTAAGGTTAACATAGCCTTGAAATACACCTTTTTAGGTAAGCCTAGTATACTTTTTATACAGTGCTATCAATTTTTATCAGTTGACTTCTTTATTTACAATCACTATTTTATTGATTTTATAATTACATCACTTTGTACTATACGTATTAACTGATTAACTATTTTTTACACCTTATACTTCTAATCATAACTCATTATCATTATTATGGCAATCATCGGTTACGATATATACATGGATTATGATAATGTTACCCAACACTATTATTCCCACCATAATTCTGCCTGACCAATTTGTCACATAATATGTTCGAAGCATCTGGCCTTCTTTCATTACTTTCGCATATACATATATATATACAAGCCTTCATCCAATAGTGAGATTCTTCACAGCAAATCTTTGACAAGATAAATACTCTTTATATAACAGGCAAATTTTGCTGCAAAACTATTTATAACCTGTGGTTAGAGTAGTTACATTATATTATTATCATGTGTAGTTATTAAATATAAATTAAATTAAAATTACTAAGTCGTTTAACTGCATGCCAAATGGTAATTAAATATCATCACACAGAAATAAGAGAAAGTTCTTTTGGGAAATAATACTGAATTCAATTAAATTTTAAATATCATTGTAATAATAGTCAAACTCAAGGGTGTTCTGGCCGCTGTACAGTAGTTATATATAATCTGATTGTAACAAATTATTCGGCATTATTACTAAACAAAAATTTATTTTTATTACTTAGTCTTTTATATGGTATTTACCCTCGCATAATACTTCTATTTAATTATAAAACTTCGATATACTTTTAATTTATTACAGATTCACTGATTACAAGACTAGGTTAGACATGATGCACTTTTTTTAAGGTGGGTCAATAAACATAGTCAAGTGGGTCAAAAACAGTCTTTTCGCTTAGATGAAATTATATATTAAAAATTTTTTGATCGATCAATATATAACTATTTGATCGATTAACATTATTGATCATTAATTAATCTATTATTGCTCGAGTTCATTAATTGGTATTCGATGATTAATTCAATCGATCAATGATCGATCATAATATAATCGAGCCAATTTACTAATCCAGATGGCCTAGAAGGGCTATGACCTGCTCCTGGTTTCCACGATTAGATTCTTTTCCTCTGGTTACTCCTCTGGCAGCCTGGTTAGTAAAGTGCCTTGCCAAACACTTCGGTCTCATTCAGTTTATCCAGTTCTTCAAGTATTAATCTATATGTAGTACTATCGAAAATTTGTGCTATTTCTCTATTCAGAACTTCTCAAGTAAGCATCCCATTAGCATATTGACTCTGTGGCTTTCTGCAATTCTGAAAGACTTATCTTAAGTTTATATTAACTAACCTGGCTTGCATACCTTTATATAACTCCTTTATTATACAAATACTCTAGAACCTTCCAATTTTTATCTTGGTATGATCATAGTTATAGGTCTTAAGTTTTTTCAGCCACAATGATAGTTGCCAAATCCAAATCCATTTTTCTAAAATCTAATTTTCACCTTCTATAGTAATTG